CATAGTGGTACGATCAAATTACTATAATTTCTTAAATACAAACTATGGGCTCTTTCCCTCATCCTGCCTTGGCCTTCGCCATTTAATCTCCAGCACCATTTCGTAGTATCCATGGCCTCACTAGTGAGAACTCCATATTTTACACCAAAATTTGTGCAGTATTATACATATTTTATTTATATCTGCTAAATCAGCTTCCCAATTCTTCTTTTCAATTTTCAATTCTATTAAAGACCTCCTCGCTATCACAGTCACACTAAGTTAACTTTAGTTCTACAAACGAAATTTCATTTATACTCGCACATCCTCGAATGCAATCTGCCTCCACATGTCCCTTTATTTAATCTATCTTGTCTGCCTTAGGGATGAAGCAGATCCTTCCAACGACTGGGTCAGTTCTGAGGCAGGTAAACAATTCAGTCAGGCAATCGACCTCCGATTGACGGTGGGCGAGGCTCTTGCCTGCCTTGTTTATCGTGCACCGGATCAGATGAAGAAAATAGCCAGTCTTGGTGGAGTCCGTTATGCCATTTACGCTGATCTACTATTTCTCGGAATAGCTTGGGCAGAAGAGTCCAAAAGTGGCGCAGGTGAGAGAATCATAGTTATGAAAGTTAGTGGAATGGTGGTATACAATCAGATTTGGGTGGCTTGAATCGAGAGAAAAGATTATGAGGTGGAGTATTATTGGAGTGTTGCTTTGTAGGAAGACTGCTGGTCGATTTTTCACTGCTGAGCTAGCTGGTTTTTAATTATTTTAGTTCGTTCACTGGCTGGGCTGAAGAGCATAGGTCGTGAGTAAAGCCTATAGTTATCGGTAAATTTCTTGTAAAATTCTATCATTATCATGCGATTTATGTGTTTAAAAATCTATTATAGCTAAAGAATATTAACTGATTTATTAATGCTCCCATATTTTCAAGGTCTCGATATAACTAGGTTTCTAGCTACGTTGATTAAAAATTGAGTAGCATCTATTTTTATTGCTATACGACCAAGGCAGTTATGAAGGAAGGTTGATAATTTGTTTTTATGTTTTCCTAATTTAGAAGCTTCTGAAACATAACATGAGATATTAAATGAATTTAATGTAAATAATGAAATTGTAAATGTAATGAAATTATATACCATACTGTTATCCTTTACAATTCTGACCAAAGTAGTCATGAGTGGCGAAAAATTCGCAGGGACTTACAATCCTTTACAGAAAACTTATCAATTCAGATGTAATCAAAAGTCAGTCATTCTCTTTCAATTACCATCAACACTGATGTTTTATATCCAATTTTTCCACTTTACATTTTAATAATGGATTTCTTTCAATCCAAGCGTTAATTAGATTCGGGGTAGTTACTAAAGTCGGGCCCTCTAATTTTTGTAGAATAAGCAGATTACCTTTTGCACAGAATCTACAACAAATTTTAGCAGTATAAATAAATTTTTTTT